TAGCTATGAAGTTCTGATCTGAGACTAACTCCAAGAGACCATAATTATTCAGGATTTTCTAAAATTAGATATATACCCCAAAATCTATAATATTCTACATTACTGAATGAATGGAATAAGAATTAGGGTCAGGGTCCAGTGGTGAGTTTGGCAGCAAGCATTAGTAGGAGAGTGGTAGAAAGAAGTTGTGAAAGCTTGTTTCTATATTATGGACAGGAATGACTGAGGTATGTTTTACACAAAACCAAAATTAGTGAAACAAGCCCTTGTTTGTTGAGATGGTCTCCATCAGGAATACAGGCACATGGGGATACATCAATGTCACAGAACAGAATTTGGTTCAAAGGGTAACTTTCAATTTATGTTTTCAAGTCTGTTAAAGATTAGTAACTGAATTAACTATATATAGGGGCAACTTCAGGGATAATGAACAGTCCCAGCATCAATCATCATCTCATTACATTCTGAAGAAATTCATTCAAAGCACTGGGTATCAGTAAGTTTGCTTTTCTAAGCTAGACAACTGGAGAGACCAACCACACACTCACAACATGAAAAGATGATTTTATAAATTCACTCGTACTCCCCTGCAGGAAAGAATTGTGTGTGAAAGTCAGGGTTGAGGGACGAGAAGGGGCTCCATGCAAGATTTGGGCAGAGGGTTGGGAGCTTTGGAGGGGCTCAGGGCAGGGGTGGCCAGTGGCTAACGGTGGTGAGGGCTGCACTGCCCGCCTGCCGGCTTCGCCTCAGGGCTGGCCCAGGAGACAGAGGCCATGCTGGCCAGCCAGTGGCTATTCTCTGGAAGAGGAGGAGTTCTTGAGCAAACAGAGAGGGACATAGACAGACGGACAAACTCTGTCAAATATATAGTTGATAAGTGTCTTGTGATAAGTGGAGTGGTAATTCTGAGGTGCGCTATTCCTTTGGGATCTGTGAATTCTGAGTGGCTACGTCTAGACTGCAGGGCTATTTCTGGATGCAGTCTACAATAGCAATACTACATCTTTAAACGCGCCATTATTTTGAAATATATTTCCACAAGGGTTAAAGGACTTGTTGGAGCAGCGCTTTATTTTTGAAAGAAGGTATTTTGAAATAACCTTGAAATAAGCTACGCAATTTGTGCTACGCAAACTGCATAGCTTATTTCAAGGTAAGGGTGCTGGCGTCGTCGGTGCAGTCCAGTGTGGGACTTCCGGCTAGGGGATCTGCCCCGCAACATCCGCGGCCTTTTTGGAGCTAGGGAGTGGGACCGGTGCCTTGGCGCCTTCGGTGCCGAAGCCTTGGAGCGCGCCGGAGCGTCCCGCGTTGACGCTGGTACACTGCGCACCATGGACTGCCCCGCCAGCACCAGTTGCAGGGCCGCCTCCATGAGAAGTTTCAGGCGGGAATCCCGCTCCCTTTTGGTGTGCCGCTTAAAGGCTCTGCAGATTTTGCAGGCGTCTGCCAAGTGGGCCTCCCCCAAGCACTTTAGACAGCTATCGTGGGGGTCCCCTTTAGGCATAAACTTTGCACAGTCAGCACAAGTATTGAAGCCTTGCGGACCTGGCATTCCTCGCCCCCAAAGGGGAGGAAAGAACAAAGGACGACTACTATCGCTAACTACCTAACACTTAAGACTATTTACAGGTAATAAAACTAACTACAAAACAGGTAGACCACTGAACTGACTGAGAAAGCAACGCTCCTACAACTGTCACAGGCGGTAAGGAGGAACTGAGATGGGGGAGCGCCGGCAGAGTTACTTATGCTCCGCTATAGCGGCGCCATGCCAGGGGGCGACCTGCCAACGCTACGGGTACTGCTCAGGAAAATGCTCCGGGAGAAACTGTGCATGCGGCACGCATACCTTATTCGAATGGACATGAGCAACCACTCGAAGAAGAACAAAGGCAGATGCTTCAGGGGGATACTTATATTCTAAGGGGCTAGAGTGTATCTTTGTTTATCCTTTAAGCCAAGAAGAGGGCCTGAAGAGGCCTGGAAGGCCGTGCTTATATTATCAGGCACTGGCAATGTTGGTGAAATGAGAGAAGTTTAAATCTGCATGCCAACACTGCTAATAAGCATGTGCCAATTGGTGACCACAGAACAGATGGAGACTAATAAACCCTGGAAATAAGAAGTTTAAATAACTGAAAGCAGAAACAGGCAGAGGCTTTTTTTTTAAATGGCATTAGGAAAAGAAATAATAAAAAACTAAGACAGAAAAAAGGTAATTGACTCAATCAGTCATTTGTGCATTAACTAATTGATGTCACTGCACAATCTTGTCACTGTTACCATTAGAACATAAAAACATAAGAACGGCCATACTGTGTCAGACCAAAAGTCCATCTAGCCCAGTGTCCTGTCTGCTGACAGTGGCCAATACCAGATGCCCCAGAGGGAGGGAACACAAGTAATCCTTACGTGATCCCTCTCCTGTCACCCATTTCCAGAGAAACAGAGGCCAGGGACACCATTCCTACCCATCCTGGCTAATAGCCATTGATAGACCTAACCTCCATGAATTTCTCTAGCTCCTTTTTGAACCCCGTTAAAGTCCTAGCCTTCGCCACATCCTCTGGCAAGAAGTTTCAGAGGCTGATTGTGCACTGAGTGAAGAAAAACTTCCTTTTGTTTGTTTTAAACCTGCTGTCTGTTAATTTCATTTGGTGACCCCTCGTTCTTTTATTTTGGGAATAAGTACATATCTTTTCCTTATTCACTTTTTCCACACTAGTCATGATTTTATAGACCTCTATCATATCCCCCCTTAATCTCCTCTTTTCTAAGCTGAGAATTCCAAGTCTTTTTAACCTCTCTCCATACCATTGACCTCCCCTTCTTACTCTGTGTTACACCCACTTTTTGGAGCTTTTTCCCATTCAATTGTAAATTATTTTACTATGTTTACACAGCACCTCAGGGTACTACAGAAAAGTAAAGATAAACACTTTTTTTAAATGCAAGAACACCTGTCCACTAGGGTCTGGACTGAGACATCAATCCATCTCCAATAAATTACCAGATTAATGGTCTCAGAGGGGTAGCTCTGTTAGTCCGTAACTTTAAAAATGAGTAGACCTGCGGCACCTTAGAGACTAACAAAAATATATACAGTAGGGATGTTAAATTTAGATTAATTAACTAATTGAATAGTCAATGGGATTTTCATTAACTATTCGATTAGTTGATAAGGGCGCCTCCTGCCAGGCTCTTACTACAGTTCAAAAGCGAAAACCCTGCAGGGAGTGTGGGGCCAGAGTGAACTCCCCTGCAGGCTCCACACTCCCTGAAGCACTTGAGTCTTTAAAATGTACAAGAGGAGCTCTTGTACATGTTGAAAGCAAAATCACAGCAGAACCAGCAGAACTTTTAAGCCAGTTCCTCCCAGCACCAGCTCCTGCTCTCCCCACCTTGCTGCCTCTCTCTGATAGATGCAGCAAGGGGGAGGGGAGAAAATGGCTATTCGCATCACTAGTTGACTAGTCGCTTAGATCTTTAATATATAATATCATGAGCTTTTGTGGGAAAACCCACTTCTTCAGATGAACTTGAGATTAATGGTGATAACCCTTGGTCACAGTAATCACTAATTCTAATCCTTGGTCAATCAGACTCTTTTTATTTTTTTTTTGGACAGAGACCATATACTGTAGGACTCTATTTCCATCATCACATCTCTGGTTATCCAGTTGTTTTCTGTTCCTGCCTTTTCCCATCTTCCACCTTAAGTATGATATTATTGCTTATAAGAAAAGAAGTGAGGCACCTCTTGCAGCTGGAGGGAAAGAAAGAAGATTTGGGCTGTGATGCAGTATTTATTCATATTTATTCATTCTTGTTCCCCTTTCCTTCCTATAAGACCTGTGATCACAACTTGAGACATGGATGTTTTTCAGGACAGAGAACATGCCTGAAAATAACTAGAATCTTGGAAAATCAGCTAGAGTTCACACACCAGAGGCAAGACACACAAGAGTTCTATAGTTAAAGGATACTTGCTTTCTAAGAGTTAAGCATTAGACATAGGTGCTAATATAAATAAGTTTCATAGCATTTCACACCATTCCAGACACAGGTAAAATTATGTGGATCAAGAATTTATTTGTGTGTGCCAATTCACACATATGCTATGCAGTCAGAGGATCAAATTCTCTTCTAGTGTACACTGGTGCAGCTCCACTGAAATCCATTGAGTTATAACACTATTTGGGTAAAGGTTTTTGTCACTATTCTTTAAATCTTTTGTCCTAATGAAATTATTATGAATTTCCTTAAAGAACATACATTGTCCTTATGCACAACAAATAAGCAATCAAACATTAATCCTGAATGACTAAAATTAGGCTCCTAAAAGTGGTTTGAATTTTAAAAGCTATCAAACATCTAAATGACCTTTGTAGGATCTATGGGTAGTAGCTTCTTAATATCAAGTTCCATATTTAGCGAATGCAATAGGGCCTATTTAGCTAACCTAAATATGGATGTGGGAGCCAAACTTGAGACACCAGATTTGAAGATTTTGGCTTATTTATTCCTCTCACATTCTATGTGAACAGGATTTTGCCCATAAAGTTTAAACTTAAGTTTCAGACATAAAGGATGACTAAGCACAAGGTCTCTACCTTTCTAAGATAATAAGCCACATCAGTGTTTTTTGATAAGCAAAACCACTGCACCACATCATATTGGAAAGGATAGTGGTATTGGTTTAAACAAACAATCTTCAGAAATATACAAATTGATGTTTTATAATAAAACCAGAAGTGATCTGCACAACATGATTATAATTAAATATAATTTGTGTCTTCTTAAAATAAAAATATGTCTATTAACAATGACAATGCCTTGTTTGATAAGTAATAATCAAATAAACCAATACAGTAAGATTATGGTATGCACTGATTTTCTGTATTTTTTAAATCATACAGTCAGGTGATGAGAAAAATATACAGCCACTTCTACATAAGAAAGAAGCATTTAGTTGTGAGCAAGGACTGAAAGATAAATACCTTTTCATGCTTTTTCAGAAAGTTTGTCTTCTTGATTTTCCCATGATGCTGTAAACAGAGAAGCAAAATATGAGCAATATGACATAGCAAAGAGTTTCAATTGTTATTTATTTATTGGTGTATATAGCGTGAATAGTGTGAATAATACAGTCACAGAATCATAGAGCTGGAAGAGATCTCAGGAGGTCATCAGGTCCAGCCCCCTGCCCAAGGCAGGACAAATCCCAACTAAATCAACCCAGCCAGGGCCTTGTCAAGTCGAGACTTAAAAACCTCTAGGGATGGAGATTCATCCCCCTCCCAAGGTAACCCATTTCAGTGCTTCACCACCTTCCTAGTGAAATAGTTTTTCCTAATATCCAACCTAGACCTCTCCCAATGTAACTTGAGACCATTGCTCCTTGTTCTGCTATCCATCACTACTGTGAACAGCCTTTCTCCAGCCTCTTTGAAACCTCCCTTCAGGAAGTTGAAGGCTGCTATCAAATCTCACCTTCTCTTCTGCAGACTAAACAAACCCAAATCCCTCAGACTCTCCTCATAGGTCATGTGCTCCAGCTCCCTAATCATTTTGATCACCCTGCACTGGGCCCTCTCGAATGCGTCCACATCCTTTCTATAGTGAACATAGAACTGTTCATTAAACAGTTATAGTTTTTCGTACTTATCTTGTAATTTTGCTTACTACTCTGTTATCTTTGTCCTTAACAGTGATGCTAGTTATTCAGTAACTAACACTTAATATACTCTAGACTCCATTTTACCTAAACTGTATGAACACTGATTCAAACTTTTACCCTGGAATGTTCCTATATTTGTGGAGTGGTTTATTGGGGGAAATATACAAATTTAAAAATCTATGTAGCCATGAGAAAATAATAAACTTGATACCAATCAGAAGAGGCAGAGTCTCATTTCTAGGAGGCTCCTTCCACACCACCTCAAAATAAGTTGGAGAAAGAGCAAGTTTGTTTCACTATTAGTTCCTTTGTCTTTCTAGAAATGGGCTAGCAGCTGTCACTTCATTTTTTAATGCATCTAGTTTGCACCTACATAATTTTTAAGTATATACAAAGAACTCTGTTTCCTTTGGTTTATATTTAGAATGACAATAGAATATCCATAAAATAAAGCAAAAAGTGTCTAAAAGAGGACAAAATAAAGGATGTGAAGGTCAGGCCAGGGGTAAAAAGGTAAAAATATAATTGGATTAAAGCAAGTAGCTGACATCCTGAGAGCAGATAAGATTCACCTGGAAGGGTTGTGTTGAGGGAGAAAGGATAGGGTCAAGAAAGGAGACCTCCATGCCTAACTAGAAGAGGAGAACCCACTGAACAAAAGTTATTAGAGAGGCAGGAGGAGAAATCAGTTGGAGATGTAAAATCAGCAGTGGAAAACATTTAAAGAGAGTATGTTCAAACAGTATCAAAAGCAGCTGAGTTCAAGGTATGATGGCCTTAAGTTACATGATCATATACTTCTTCTCAAAACTCAACACAACATGTATTTCCAGTTTTATAAATTGCAATTTATAAGTGTATATACAATGAATTAGGGGGAAAAGGTCTTTGATGGAGCAATCTTATTTTGGTTCTACAGTGAGCATGAAATACTTGTTTGGCATTTCTAAACTGAAGTGCTTAGCCACATTAAGAGATCTGTAATTTCAATAGTGCCTTCTGATTCATTACCCTACTGATTTAGTGTCCTTTAGAAAATTTTTAAGTTTTCTCTGAGTACGTCTACACTGCAACATTATTTCAAAATAACTAGCACTATTCTGTAATACTTAGTCCACGTCTACACAGCAGGCAGTTATTTCGAAATAGTGTCAAAATACTGTCAAGCTGGAGGACTTCTTACTCCGACTCCTGTAACTCTCGTTATACAAGAAATAAGGGAAGTTGGAGGAAGAGTACTCTATTTCTAAATAAGTGCTGTGTAGACACTCCCCAATTCAAAATAAGATATGCAATTGACGGAGCTCAATCTGCATAGTTTATTTTGAGGTAAGCCCTGCAGCGTACACATACCTTAAGTGACTAGACTGAATAAAATGTTTAACTCAATGAGTTACTATGGGGCAGGTTGTATATCACCAGAACAAACTCGTTATTTTTACCATGTGTTTTTGAAAACAGGCAGGGAAAGAAATTGTTGGAGGGGTAAGGGAATAATGATGGAGTATTAAGGTAAAAATGATTGGAGTTTTTAAAATTACCTAGATTGTGGGTGGTGAGTTGCATGAATTATACTGCTGTACTTCAGTAGATACATATAAAAATATCATTTGTACTGTATTTTTAAGTTATGTCAAGGACGATTACAGTACATAAATATGCATTATTTTTAGCATTAAGTATAACACACACACACACACACACACACACACACACACACCTTAAAGTATCAGAGGAGTAGCCACGTTAGTCTGAATCTGCAAAAGTGATGAGGAGTCCTGTGGCACCTTATAGTCTAACAGATTTATTGGAGCATAAGCTTTCTTGGGCAGAGACTCACTTCGCCAGATGCATCTGACTAAGTAGATCTTTGCCCACGAAAGCCTATGCTCCAATAAATCTGTTAGTCTATAAGGTGCCACAGGACTCCTTGTCGCTTTCACACTTCTTAAAGTACAGTAAAACTCCATTAGTCGGGCATCCAATGCTCCGGGACTCCTGATGGTCCGGCACCATCAGGAACCCGGAAGTGCTGGGGCAGCCAGACAGGTTTCCCCCATTCAGCTGCTGCTGAAACTGACCAGCAGCTGAATCGGGGAAGCTGGGAGCAGAGCAGCTGGGGTGCTGCCAGGTTGGTCCCGCAGCGCCAAAGGACGGCGCTGCGGGACCAACCCGGCAGGACCTCAGCTGCTCTGCCCCAGGGGTCCCCGATTCCGCCGCTGATCTG